TGAGAGTGTTTAAAATAATTTTTGCAAACAGCTTTATGATTTTAAGTACTTTTCTCATCAGAAAAATGTATTTTTTGCCAAAGTCATTTTCTGTTAAGGTGTTTTTTACTTTAACTTCTTTTATAAGTACTATTTACATGGATCTCTGCACATTACTACCCCACCTCATCCTTACCTTGTACTGCTACAGTGTCGACTGTATAACCTGTATGTTGTTTACATTTTATATTTTTGTACCGTATGTAATGTATGATACCGTTTTGTTCTTCTGAGGGGTTGAAATTTGTAATTTTTCAAATTTTCAGATTATCATAATATTGTAACTCATTTTATTAGAGAAACACATGGTTTTATTTCACCTGCCTTGCTCTAGTTTTGTTGCAGTTTTTGGATCCTCATACTTCATGAATATAAATATTTCCTTCACTTTTTCTCCTGTAATGTTTTCTGTAATATTCTGTTAGTTGCTCCATTTTCTAAAACAAGTTAATCTCCTTTTTTAGTTGCAGCAGCAATCACTGGTGTAAGGACTGAAATTTATTTTTTTCATGTTAGGAAAGTTAAAATGATCACTAATGGATTCAGATTGTTTTAGTTTGAAATGTTGAATCTTGTTCTCAGCGTTAGCACTGTCTAACCACATATATGCTGCAGATTCAAACTGAATTGACAGATTCCTGCTATAAAATATTTACCTGCAGCCATAAATTTGCAGTGATACTGTATATGTTTGTGCACTCAGAGATTATAATGAGCATACAGTGGGTGTACGTTATTCAGCTTGGTGCCCAGTTTATCAATTAAACATACCTTTTTTTGTGAACAAGACAGTTTTTTTAGATTGTATTTTTGCTTGACCTTCCTTACAATTTTCTAACATTGTCATGTGATTAAAAAAAAGACAGAATTCAGAGTTATTGGTAACATTGATGACAAACTACAGTTCCACATGAGCTGTTTAATTATATTTACACAGTAGAGTTCTTGGAGGTAAAGTCTCAAGGTGATAAATCTAAATGTCAGAACATGGTGTGCTGTTTATATGTTCAAATAATATTAATAATAATTTTTATTGCCTTTAAGTATCATCTGGTGTCCAAACAAAGGCAAAAGCCTGTTTTCTTTCTGTCCTATGCCTCTCATGCTCCCCCCACCTCCCACCCCCTGACACTCATCTTGAGAGCCTGCCATGTGCCGGGCAGCGAGCCCAACAGGATCTTCCTTGCTTTTCCAAATCGTTGATAATCGACCGGCTCAGGGAATGGAGCAGAGCAGCAGCAGAGCGAGCGCCATCCTGTATCCTGCCACTGCAGCTGCTCCTGGCTGCCACGGCAACTGGGGCAGAAAATCTGACTTCTCACTTTGTCATAATCAGCATTGTGGTTTCCGATCTCCCTGAACTTGTGTGCCTATTTGTTTTGTCTGCCTATGTTGTTTTGTCCTCTTGATCTTTTTGACACACTGAGGGGTCCTTTTAGTTCTGCACCATGTTATTCTATTTGGAGAACTGGAATATATCATGTTCTACCTTTCTTTTACAGTTTGTATTGAAAAGGTCACCGAACACAAGTGTGGCTGTTTGAAGTGGGAATAATTGCAATTTCATTCAYAGCATAAAGGTTTGTAGAGGCCAAAAGTTTACACCTAATATCAATTATTATTGTTTTTTTAGCCAAAGAATCTTAGAAGAACATAACATTTAACCACTTACAGGTTTGCTAAGAATTACTTGAGGTCTTGCAGTCAGGGACCAATAGTGCTCAATGCAGTGTGAGGTTTTGTTGCTGCCCTTAATTCTTTAATTATTTATTTAAACACATCAAAATATATTATTACACGAGAAAAAAAAGAAACTATAAAAGCAATTGTAAGCTCATTCCTTTGAGTGGAATCCTGGAGAATTCAGTAATGACATGGTATTTCTTATGTAGTTAAGGCTCAAATTACTCCCCTGACCTCCCCTCAGCGTCGATGCCCTCAATGTGAACTCATTTTCTTAATTAAACTGGACTGAAAGTAGAATGAGTCTAATTATTGGAGTGGCCTGCAATTTAAAGACCATCCACAGTCTACATTTACCTCCTGTGTTTGAYAACGGACTCTTGTCTTGGATTATTTGCTTCCGGTGTGTTTGCACTGACAGAAGCAGCAGCACTGTCTCTGAGCTGCAGATAAGCAGGAAGGCAGTGCTGACTTGATGAGCAACGCTAAGACAGATTCCACCCTGTGGGCAAGGCTGGAGCAATGATCGGGCATCTGCCTGAAACAGCATTCATACCAACCCACAAGCAGCCGAGTGGCAGCTTTTCAACCATGCATCCAACCCCTGCGCCGTGAAAAAGTGTGTTCATGATGATCATGAATGAACCATCCYGTGCCATTCTGCCGTTCTGTGTTTGAGTGGGTGACAAATGATTCACCTTTCAGGTCCTTCTCCAGCTGCTGTTTGCTCAAACTTAATTAACAGAGAAAGAGCGGCAGTCCATCTTCTTCACCAGCTTGATATGAGTTGTTTACAAGTCCACAAACTGCTAATTTGATTGCCTGAATAAATGACACAAAGCAAATGAATCCGAGCTCAGATGGTCTGGCTGTCGCCCTTTGCACCTCAATAAATCACCCTACTTCATGCTATTTTCTCCTTGTCTTATACAGCAGCACAATAAGTCATATTGTACATGCAAAATGAAATAAAGCAGCTTGACTGATTGTGTGTAGGTCCATTTTTTGCTCACTCTCATTACCTTGTGACAGAAGTGTATTGAGCCAGAAGAGGTGCCCGTTTCTCACTTCTCAAAGGCAACTCTCTTAGATAGAGTGYCTCATCTGCTCAGCTTATACAGCTTTGTAATTAAATATACTGCATRTGTTTCTTTTTTATCAGRGAAAGGTGAATTTKGAAATGAGCTCTAAAAGTTCATTGCATCGTTTTTAGCCACATAGCTYTAGGCGCTGTTAGCACACAACAAGGAACTGGTTCAGGTTATRAAGCACCAACATAACTGTCAAAATGCAGCAATTCCAGCCGAAAGTACCGAAATGATAAAATATTAAACCCACTGAATGTATTTGAGCCTGTTGTTCAGTCACAGTTCTTTTCATTTGAATGCAAATATCTTTGTGTCATTAGCACAGAAGCAGTSATGCATGAAACATTCATGGTGCTCCCACAAAGTCTCATGGCTACAAACTGATTTGGCCTCAGCATGTTTGGTACATCAGGGCAGGGCACAGTGAGGGATGAAGAAGTGTCTGTGTGTGGGGAGCTGAATGAATGAAGCATTAGCTTCTCTCTGATGATTTATGGTAATGTTCTGCCTACAAAGCAGTGTGATGGGCTTTCACAGAGGAAACTTCCAGGTCACTGGTTCCTGAAAGATGATCTCAGGCATTTATCATAAACTAAGTGCTTTGCAGTATCTGGAGATGTTACACATCTTGTAAAGTCAGCGCCAAAAGTTTCTCACAGTCCATCGCTCCTTGTGGTAACTTCAGTTAAACTGAAATGATGTAGAAATGTCAATGAGTGGAGTTTTCGTTCAAGTCAAACATTTTCTAAAAAGACAAAGTTTAGTAGAGGTGGCAAGGCTCAAACATCCATCCATCTGTTTTCTATCCAGGGTCGGGTCGCTGGGGCAGCAGCCTAAGCAGAGACCCAGACAACCTTCTCCCCAGACACTTGGACCAGCTCCTCTGGGGGAATCCCAAGGTGTTCCCAGGCCAGCCGAGAAATTTAGTCCCTCCAGTGTGTCCTGGGTCTTCCTCTGGGTCTCCTCCCAGTGGGTCATACCCAGAACACCTCACCAGGGAGGTGTCCAGGAGGCATCCCAACCAAACGAGCCACCTCAACTGTCTCCTCTCAACGTGGAGGAGCAGCGGCTCTACTCTGAGTCCCTCCCGGATGACCGAGCTTCTGACCCTATCTCTAAGGGAGAGCCCAGACACCCTGCAGAGGAAACTCATTTCAGCCACTTGTATCCACAGTCTTGTTCTTTTGGTCACTACCCAAAGCTCGTGACCATAGATGAGGGTAGGAACGTAGACTGACCGGTAAACCGAGAGCTTTGCCGATAAWGACCAAACCTCCATTAATTTTGTCTGGTTATAACTGAGATATACAATAAATATTAAATGTATCTGCAGGTACCACAATTATTTGACGAATATATGTAAAACTTTCCCAAATTAGACAGAACAACAAAACAAACATTTAGCATGTAAAACTTCAAGGTGTTKTCTGTACATTTGGCTGAAATGTTTTTAGATTTTCCGAGTTTGTTTTTCCAGTTGGTGCCAGGTTTTTATCTCTGATTTAAGGGTTACTGAATAAATAATAACGTATAATTAAGCATATTACATGTTTACAAATCTGACTTCTTTAAACTTGACTGTACACTGCAAAAATGTCCATCTAACAAAGTTTAGATTTTTTTATATTCAGCCAAAAAAAAAAAAACATTTTAATCTTGTTTTGAGACTGATTTACTAAACAAAACAGGGTGTGTACGATTATTACCCTGCCGATGATCTGCCAATGGAGTAAGACAATTTTACTTGGCAAGGTTCTTGAAATCACATAATTTGACTTAGTTTTTTCTTACTTCAATAATTTTACGAAGTACGATTGTCTTACTCCATTAGGTGATTTTTTTCACTTAATTTGAGTCAAATTTCCAGGCTAACAAGCTAAATATTTTTTCAAATTTAGTTCATGTTTAATCTGTCTCAAAAGAAGA